ATCTAACGTACCATCATTAACCATTACTCAAGCTATATCCCACTGAGCTGACACACCTCCACTCTACGGCGATTTTCATTACACATTCATCTGCAGGTCGCTTTCTTGATGAATCAACGAGCTGCTTGGTCTCTAAAATGTCAGGATAATAAAACATGTCCATCGGGGCCCAAGGTGATGTCTTATAATGTTTTGTTTTGTTGTTTGGTCTAAATAACCCAAAGATTTTAGATTTAAAACTGAGAGAAGCGGCAAATCCTCACATCGGATAGCACGGTTTTCAATAGCCGACCATGTCTTTATACTACTGACACTGACTGATAGTTCCAGTCCTACTCCACAAGCTCGCAGTGTAAAGAGGCCCTTGAGCACTGTGGTGTGTGGGGGGAATGGGTACTGGCAACAAGCAACTTTTTGTTTTATGTAAGAAGTATTTTTGTTACACACACACACACACACAACAATATTTTGGTGTGTGTGCCTCACAAATATGAAGCCTAAAATATCACTATCGCCCCCTAGTGGCTTGCTGCAGTACAGGTAATATGAGTCTGTTAAAACACTGACGGAGGCTAAAAAAAGAACATACATTTGGTGTATCAAATAATAACATATTACTTAGGTTACAATACTAATTTTATTTTATTTTACGAGAATCTGGCCCTCACAGTTTCTGCAGAGAAAAATTCTGGCCCTTGGACAAATAGTTTTTTTTTGCCTCCTGCTGTAAAGGCTCTACTACACTGAATGGAACGGAACCAGCCTGGTTGGTGACACCTGTGTTCACACTGTTTAATATGGACAGCCTGTGGACAGCGTGTCGCTTACTGAAGACAGGAGGAAACCGCATGTCTTCACAGCATAATGAGGTTCAGTCGCAACCGTCCACGGTAACGGAGCACACCGGACACCTTCAATGAGAGCTCGGTGTGAACGTACCCGAGAGGACCTCCGACAACCGGCTCCGGCTGTTGACAGCGTGCGACCACCTGACCTCCGCAGCGTCCTTCTTCTTTATCCGACTCAAGAAATAGTCCAACGTCTGGTCGGACATCCTCTCTGCCAACAGACACTCAGCTCTTTACAGTCTCACAGCACAGCGTTAAACAATACGTATAATGAGTAAAGACGCCGCTAGCTACATTGCTATGAATGACACGGAGCGTAAGTTAAGTTGAAAAGTAATAATTCACACACTTAAGATAATTTAGTTGTTTTACCTTTTAAATTCCAAACGACGTAAACTGTAAAACACCCAAATAAAACTAAAGCAGCACTGCGAACATTAAACAAAAGACTCCTCTTCATCGTTCATTTTAACAGTCAAAACAATGTTTACAGAGCTAAGTGAAGTTAGCAGCAGGAAGCTAAACCCCATTTCCGGTTAGGAGTTTTCGAAATAAAATAGCAAGTAGTATTTCGCTAATTCAAAGGGGAACGAAATATTATGTATTGTGATACAATAAATACGTTTTCTAAACGTCTGACCTTTGAAGTAAAGTAGTGGTTCACGTCCAGAAAGCAAAAGATGGTCTGGATTTGATCTTTTTGTTCGCAGTGACTGCTGCACTAAATCCAGTCCCTGCTCTTCATCTACTCCCTGCTCTTCCTCCTCCGACGTTGACGGGTGTATTCTGAAGCACATATTACTTGTAGTCTTTTCAGTTACTAATATATTAATTAATTATTAGTTAGTAATATGTGCTTCAGTGTTAAACGCAAAACGTGTTTGATTGCGCGGCACCGTGGTCAAGAGTCATGATTCTGACACACACACACACACAGGTGAACTCCACTCAGTAGTGATGGGAATTCCAGCTCTGTTTAGTGATCCAGATCATTTGACTCAGCTCTTCATTTAATACCACTTCTGGCTTTTATAATCTGTCACAATTTAACCTGTAGTCAATGTAGTCAAAATATTTTGACCTATGATTGGTATGTTTGCATGTATATCACTTAAATTATTCAATGTACTAACTAAACCCTGTCTTGGATATATTTTATTTACATATAACTATGTATGTTGTTGAATGCTGCAACACACCATGCTTGTGTTGTAATATTATTACCAAAGAGAGACATTTCTAGATTCTGTTTAACAAAGTTAACAAATGTATTGGATCATCCTATTATTCTGTCTAGTATTATATGTATATATATATATATTATAGAGTATATACTTTCATTTATAGTTTTATATCTTCTATTATATTTTGTATTTTGTAATATTTTTATTGTGGTATTCTTTGTTCTCTGTTTTTGACACCTACTTTTGCCTCTAATGCCATGCTGTGGTCAACCTGAATTATCTCCTAAGGGATAAATATAAGGAATATCTTTATCTTTATAATATTAAAAATAAAATATAGAATTGGCGTCAGGTGGGAAAGCGGCTCCCATCGTTCACTTAAAAGCTGCTGACTTATGGAGTAGTGATTTGCAATTTTGGTTCTTTTTAGTGATTGCTAACCAGGCTTTGGTCTTCATGTTATTATCAAAATTAGACATTACTGTTTAATATGTTTTAGGCTTATGTGATTATATTATCTCAGTATTAGCCTTTATTATATAGAAAAGAGAGAAAGAGGCTCTCAGAGAGAAAGCGGCTCCTGGCGTTCCATTATGTGGGGGAAGATAAACCCATTTCATTTTGGACTTACTGAATTCTTCCTCTGGTTCAACCATGTGGCCAAAATGTCCACTGTGCACACAATTTATCCTCCCAAAGTGATAAACTCTTGAGATTATAATGACTGTACTGGGTTTCTTGTTCCTTCTGTTTTTTCATTTTCTCCATATAGGGTGCAATGAACAGCTTATGAAGGGTGCCACTAGAACCATAGATGTTCACCAGCTCACTGTGACTGTCGGCTGTTTTCTGCTGGGCAGGTAGTGTACTGTGGCAACAGCTTTCACGTTAGTCATTTATTCCATTGCTTATTTAGATTATTGATGTTTTAAGTTGTAATCAGCACAGCCTGTATGCCAGATCGTTAGCATTTATGCCAAACTATCATTCTTACTCTGTAAAAGTTGTACAAACTGCTTTGAGAATCATGCAAATAAAGGAGATTTCAATGAAACACCTGATAAGTAACTTGGTAGTACTATTTCTGTCATATTGCATAATGCTGAGAGTGTAGCAGGTTGTGCTTCAGTAAGCGTTTTATGGGAGGGCTTTTATCAAACTGATAAAAGCTCTGCAGGCCTTTAAAAAGCGCAGCGGCAGATAGCGAGGTGAGACTAAAGATATCAAGACTACAGGTAAGACTCTCAACTCTTAGCTTGTAAATATTTATCTACTGCTTCTTCTAAATATCATATCGCTAATCTTATTAACACATTTAGACCAGTGATACTCCATATTGTTGCTATATAAAGTTGATTATCTGTTCACATAATTCGCTCTAAGTGCTACAGTAAAATAAACTTAATCTGCAGAAACTAACAGAAAAGGAATTAAATCAAATGTTATGCAGCCACCCAGACTGTACGTGTCTCAAATGACTGGCATATTGTGAATGTATACAGGTAGAACTGTGAGCAGAGAAACAGTCCAAACAAATCCACCACCTGTTATGGAGCTACATTTTCACAACAACCACCTTCAGTGAGGGAGGAATGCAAAATCTACACAATGTCTAACGCTGAGTTAGTGAATGAAAACCACAGAGATTTGTCTTATCTTTAAGGGGAGTAGCTGTTTTTTTTTTTTTTAGGTAAAAGCAGCTGGTGCCAAATGGATGTTTCCCAGTAGCACTCATATTTGTAGTGTCTATAAATCCACACTTCCTTTTACAATTTAAATTCTATTTTATGAAATGTATTTAGTGTTGAATGACTTTGATTTTCTGTAGTGTCTCCACCAATAAGTGTGTTGGCAAACTGAGGTCCTCCATCTAACAAGTTTTCAATGAGAGCAAATTGTCATTGTGTGTTTTCCAGGCAAACTAATGGATTTGTCATTTAAAGTGGATCATTTCCAATACTTTTGCCTTAATCCCTGAAAATACTTGCCTAGAAATCAGGTATTACTAGCTGAAATTAGTCCCCAACAAAAATGCCCTATTCCTCCCTGTTTAAATAACTCAGTGTTCAGTTATAATGGTAAATGGACTTTACTTTGTATAGCGGCCTTTCTAGTCCTTCCCTCCTCTTTCTCCTGGCTTGGTCAGCTTTATTATTGAAAGGAAGAGAAAGTTACAAATATATATGAAGCTACAAATATATAATTGAAAGATGTGTGTGTGGTCTCCTGTGTGTGTACAACCAACTAAATAGCATACCAACTGCTCATCTACAATTTAAAATATTGTAGATAAGAAGTATATAAAAAATATATAAAGATAAAATGACAGTAAAAGAACTGCTGTTTGTAGTAATGTTAGTCATGGAATAATTTTTCCCAGAATATTGTGTTTTGCCTTGAACATTGAGACCATGAGTTGAGATTACCTGCTCCTATGGAATTACTGTGCCAAAGCTAAAAGTAATATTAAACAAGCTAGCCTTTAACCCAACCCTGCCAACCAACCCTGCATTCTGCACCAGTGGAAAGTTCAAACATCACAATGCAAAAGGAACAAGCACTGAAACACATTGTTTGAAGTAACAAAAGGGGACTTTAAATAGTAAAAAACCTTGACGTGAGTAACCTTTCAGAATACAGCTATTAATCTAGAGTGTTATTGTTCCTCTGCACAGCGTCCTGT